CTCGATCAATCGCACATCCATAATGTTTGTATGTTGATACGCTTGTAAATAACATTAACGTAAAAGTCGAAACAACCTAGACTAGAAGTCAATTCACCAGTCCAGCCAGCTATGGCTCCCTAAGTTGCTTATATTTAATCAGATACTATTTCGTCATCATGCTTTGTTACCTTACCTGTTTATTCCTCATGAGGGCGTTTTTTTATGGCAAGATGGCGCAAACGGAAGTCCTTCGCAGGTTTATGGTTTCTCATATTTAAATCATCATAACTCTGAAGATAATCATTTTTTTTACTTTTTTTTTTCAAATTTATTATCAATATACATAACTTGATAAATACAAACACCAAAATAGGCTCTATTTAGTTCCCCTTTAACATATTAGTTAGGCAAATAAATATTGCTTTGAAAACTAGACAAGGTACAGGTGGTGAAGACAGTTGTCAATTTTCAGATTTGGAATATTAATCGTGTTGGCAAAAATAGTTAGTCAGTTTCCAATTTCAATCAGTGATTGTCCAAAAACAGACATCTATCCTGATGGTACATTGCATCACAATACATACCTGTAAGGCATAGGTAATAGACAATCCAACATAACTTGGTTCCAAAGCTCCTAGTGAAGCAGAAGCCATACATGCAACACCAGCAATCAATACTATTGAAGCTCCAATAGAATCCTGGAGAATAATAAAAGTAGAAATGTTCCCATTACCTTAGTCTAGAAATATATAAGTTCTTGGATGAATGCTGTTGGTATTCTGCATTAACAAATACTCACCAGTCTTATCCCCAGCCATCGGTTGGCTGTCTGTAAATATATATACGCGATGTTATTTCTATCAATCCGATCTACAATCTGCTTTCGGAAACGCTTTTCATCCCTATAAAAAAACAGACACATTAAAAATCAACTGCTCGTATATGGGAGTATCAATGTGCAATTAGTCTGTTAGGTACCCCACTTCATTTGCATATTGTTTAAAGGTTTAATGTGGGATTGTCCAGCTTTATGTAGTGTTGTTTATCTCATTAAAACTATAGAGCTACCGGGTAATCTTATTTTTGATCATCTCAACATCGCCAGAAAAAAAAGCCAAAATTTTGTCAAAACTATGTATATCAATTCTTGTCCTATGTGAGAATATTGAATTACTTTAGACATATGTGCCGAGTGTTTCAAATCTACGTTTTGAAACCTTTCACACAACTTTGTCTCTACTAATGTCTCTCTACTAAGAGTTTATTTTTACAAAATTGTTGCTGTCTATTTGCAAGACACCTGTTAAAGGTCATTCATAAATTTCTCTCAATGGACAAAAAATAAAAAATGTCAACACTTTTACGAGTTACCCCAGTAAGATTCAATGTCACAATCTTTTTATTGTATTTTCGTATGATGTATTCAACAATGAGGATAAGAATTGAAGAAAACACTATTTTACAAGAACCCTTAACTACATATTCCATTATTTTATAGAGCATTCAGTAAGGCACTTTGCTACTCATGCAAACTAGACTCCCTAGTGCAATAATAAAAACTACACATACTAGTACTAGTATCAAAGCATTTGCCCAAATTCACATGTTTCTGCCTTGCACTCATGAGACTAGTACAATACAAAAAACTACACATACATTTGTACTAGCACCAAATCATGTGACCAAGTTTCTACCTTGTTCATATCAGTTCTCTTCATTTGCAATTGCTATAAAAAAAATTCACTGGAATAATAAATTATTTCATGTTGCTAGCACGGTAATTATACTTGGCACCAAACTCTCAGAGCCTGGCTAAATCCAAATACATTACAATGTCTGGGGCACAACTGACTATCATATTGTATCAAATCATAAAAAGAGGTTAGATATTCTATCTATGTACTAAAATTAAACAGAAAAGTTAATTTTATTAAGATAAAGTGACCTGCAATCCATTATAAACAAATGGCTGCCAGTCAGCCACATAGGTTTGAATCCCCCCCCCCAAATGATGTGCACCATTAATCAAATATGTTGGTACGATCATCATACCATTTGATCCAAATCATTTGTTCAAAATGTCTGTTCAAACCATTTGGAATGAGACAGCTATACTTGTAGTATAACAACAATATCTTCGCTTTCTTACCTGAATGCTCTTATTGTTGACAATCCGCCTAAGGTTTCAGAGAAATGCGCAAATACTGGAGATTTACTGATGCTGTCAAGACGTTGAAGTTCTCTGAAAAAATTAAATAATCCAATGAACACATAGCTTTTGGTAGTAAAAACAGTACATCACAGACAGTCTTGATTGAACTCATTCATACCACCCACAGTCAGGCCAATATTTGTTTAAAAATAAAATTTTCATGAAATTGTTTGAGTGATTGCAGAATTGTGGTGTTATCACAAATCCATTATCCAGACTGATTAATTCTGCGGGTAATCATTGCATTCAATATAATAAGATTGATATGGTCTTGCAGATAATGAATGTTTTGATACAACAGTCTAAGTTTAGCTATACTGAGATTGGATCACTAACTGTCACTCATTAAATACCATCTTTACACGTTTTTTGGATCAGTGAGGATGCAGAAGACTACAAGATTGGGACAAAAATAGTCAAATATTTTGAGTAAAAACTAAAAATTGACTCAAATTTTGGCTCCAAAACTAGGGAGCATGTAAGAAAAAAGTACAGAATAATTTGGTCAACAATATCTGGTGGTGAAACTTACCTGGAAGTGGCGATAAAGAACCTTTGTAAGAAATAGTAACCAATCATAACGGGTGTGACGATAACTATAAAGATTGGTATGACAATAGTGTTGACTACCAGTGCCGATAATACATTCAGTGATGAACGCATTAAAGCATTAAATGTCTGCCACAGTCTCTGAAAATAAGAAAGAAATATGACAAAGTGAATGTAACATTATTATATTATTAATTATTATTGATATGTGTTTTATCATCTTATAACAAAGCAAATACTGTCAAACACAGTTGAACCTCACCTGATCAATCAATTGAGTATCATTTGAAAATCGGTTCAAAATACGACCAATAGGCGTTGTATCATAGAATCTCATTGGTACATGGATCACATTATGAAGCAACTTAAGATGGAGACGTTTAGCGGCCATCAGCGCGAATATTACATTGCACAATCCATACACCAATGCTAGAAGGATAGTCAGACCTGCTAGTCCACCGTAACCACTGATGTAGTAGATCAACTCTTCTGTACTTTCTTCCTATAAGTATATTGCAGCAAAGATACGATTAGTAATGCATGGCTATGACTTTATCTGTTTGTCAGTTCAATGCAAGCCATTATTTTGAAATGTACATTACATGAATAGTTGTACAAATTACAAATTTTGATAATTTTTGTATTCACTTACATGATGCAATCTATTGTTCATCAAAATATTAAAATTGATTGTTGTAATGTTTAATTTTTTTTGGAATGACTGAAATATTATATGCCACTGTAACAAATAAAATGCATCTTACCTCAGTGCGATTTGCAGTCACATTTGCTCCAGCTTCGGACCATTCTGAGAGCCAAAAATTAGTAGCAACCGAAGCACCAACTTGTGCAAGCAAGAGAGATACCAATAAACACACAATAGGGATTCTCATGGCTCTGGCATACACCATGTAAACCTTCCAGGAGACAGAACCTCTCTCTCTTTCTTCTTTCTCAATTAGTTTTCCATCAGCTTCACCTAGCGATATAAAAAAAAGTGTTAAATTATTGAAACCTTGCCCAAAGTAAGGCAATTTTAAAAGTATCATTCTAACCACATGAGTTGAATAACTCAAAACAAAAAGTTGAAAGTATGGAAACACAGACAATTAAGTACATCATACGTAACCATGTAGTCCCTTCCATTTCAAATTGTACTCTGACAACATGCATCAAGTTTTAAAATCACACACATGGGAAACATGATTACTATAAATATTCTAATTCAGGCATTAGGGGTGAGTGAAAAGCCTCAATTTGGTTTTAAAATAGGCGACACAAGCAGTTAGAACCATAAAAAAAACAAGCATGCTGACAGACAATCGCTCAAATGATGAGCTTTGGTCGACAAAGTCAACAGCGGAACTAAAAATTGTTAGTATTTCCATGTGATAACAAAATACTCAATCTTGTGGGTAATGACGAGTATATAATATGTTTCAAATAAAAACAAAGTAGTAATATTGATCACAATCAGGTAATCAGGTCATGCTATTTCACATGCAAACAACATATTGGTTTTTGATGAGTTACAAGCGTTAATTATTACTCAGTCATGAATATAATAATGTACATTATGTAAAATAATTTGTTATGAAATGCATATATAATTCAACTTTGTTTCATTGAAAGCAAACGATTTCCGTAGAAGGCAAACACTCAACCATAAATATAATATGTTTTTATCATGAAACACCAGATAGGAGGTTCTTATCAGCCAATCAAAATGCTGAGTTGTTATGGTTCCTGAAAATCCTTGATAGCTATGCAACATGAAAGTGATTTATCCATGCTGTTTCATTATACTGGTGTGTTAAATCGTCTTTGAGTTGTCTTAAAATCATAATAATAATGTTCATGGTTCATATTTCAGGAGCAGGCTGTGAATATGTAAGTTACAGGACATGAACCAACCAATCACAATTCTGTACTATCCTACCTGCACAAGAGATGATAAATGTACATTGTAAGAAGGAAATCCTAAAAAAGAGTTTTGAATTATTCATTTCAGAAAATGGCGTTTGAATGTCAAAAAAACGATACATCATTCTCTGCAGTTGAAATATATTTTTTACTTTGTTTTTAAGGCAAATAAACAAAACAATGAAATAATGTGATGAAATCATTTATGTACTTATTTTAACTACTGGGGCATTTACATACTTTATATGCATTACAAGAATCAGTTACAGAAAACAAATTAGTTACCTGATTGTTTTACATCCTCTCCATCCATGTCACGAATTGATAATTGTTTTATTAGTTTTTGACGTTCCATTGTCGCTGACCCTTCTTCTTCGCTATCACTTTCAGATTCACTGATCAACTGTAGTGTCTCCTTCCAGTTAGCGTAAAGTTCAGGATCCTGTGCTGAGATCTCTCTAAGTTTCCTTGTTGATAAATTTTTCCATAATCCATTAC